ATAATAATAATAATAATAATAATAACAACAACAACTTTATAAAGCGCTTTCAAACAAAGCGCTAAACAGGAGATAAAATTACAGATGACAAGAGATGAATTCACAAAAAGCAAGGATAAAATCACAAAGAGCAAGATGATGATACAGAACAGGTTAATAATAATAACAATAATAAAAAAAATCACAACAACAATAATAATGATAACAACTTTATTTATAAAGCGCTTTCAAACAAAGCGCTAAACAGGAGATAAAATCACAGATGACAAGAAATGAATTCACGAAAAGCAAGGATAAAATCACAAAGAGCAAGATAAAAACACAGAAGAGGTCAAAAACAATAAAAAAACAATAAAAAAAACATCGTCTAATAATTATCACTGAATGCTAAAACGRTGAACCTAACAAACAGTCAAAGACCTTCAGTTTCAGGTAGAACGTCTCTAGCTGATGTTGCGACTCACCATGCAAGCTGCCTGAACAGCCTCAGATACACTCCCAGCGTTGGGCTCACACCAGAACACGTGACAGTCAAAACGATGGCCGCCAGCGTCCATGATGAAGGCAAATGTGTGCACGTCGCGCCCGACGCCCATGAACGACAGGAAACGGACGCGGCACTCCACAAGCACTTCCTCTTCATCCTGGTCAGAAAGCACCAAGGTGCAAGTTTATTAAAACATTAATYCAAAAAAGACATCACAACAACTTCTTAAGAAAGTAAGTTGCTAACAATAAAAGTAACAAATAACACCAAAATAAAAGTTCTTTGTAGGGTCAAAGACTGAATACTTTAWTGGAAGTTCCAATTAAAGCTTGGAAACTTTATTTCTCAAGGACAGCGACACAAAACAGGAAGTCATAAATCAATCAGATTAAATCAAACCTGCTTAAAACAAAAACACACACAGGCCTGTAAGCATAACCAGATCTAGCTGTGTTGCATGTTGGGTGTAAAAGCTGGACTCTGGCTGACCTCTTCCTTGCTGATGGTCACTGTGGCATCGGCCACATTCAGAGCCACCGGGGTCCAGTCCTCTCTGTTAGAGGAACCAATCAGACTGTCGATGGCTCCGTTCAGGATATCCATACCTGCAGTGTCGTTCAAAAGAATCAAACATAAGTTATATCGAGATCAAATMAATGACTTATTACCTATTTTAAAACCGTGTGTGTGTTACACRGACCTATTGGTCTGGCCACAGGCATCATACCGAGGTAGAGCACCTGAAATTTCTGAACCAGCTCTGTCTTTGGTGTGGGAAACTCTGCCGAGAGGAAGTTAACATGCTTAACAAGTGCCTGTCACAAATAACACTGTGCAACACTGTGGTTCATTAAATTACATCATTACACGCCTGAATATATGGATAAATAGCTTCTATTGTACTTTAATGTCACAACTTTACTAGTCAGGGTGTCTAACAGTGCAACAGACCTTTTGATCAGCAGWTTAATGCATTTAGTCCAAGAGATGTACCATGTTTATCTGCATAAAAAGTACCAGCAATTTTGATGGTACCCCATTAAAGTACATCRCTTACAGGTATAAAAAACCRATTTCTTACTAAATTTCTCCRGGACACAAAGTCAGAATTCAAGATTAACGCTAAACATCATGGCTTTGACTATGTCTATGTAATATCTGACCATAATCGCCAGATCTTTTGCGTCACATGTTTTTTTGGTACCAAAGTGTTAAAAACTGATTGCTTAATTAAATCCAGGTAACTAATATTGAACTTATGAAGCCATTTACAGCTGGCATCCACAAAAAGGGCAAAAAATTGTCAAAATTTGAGCTTATTTTGAATTTTGGTCATGCACTTTCTCCAACTGTTCTGTCAATATTTCCTAAACTGGCACCAAACTGCACCAAAAATATCTTCAGACACTCTACTAATTAAAAAAAACATAAGATAAGATGCACAATGTCATCTTTTTCATCTTAGTAGCAAATAAATGATGCCAACCCTCTAAATTAATGATACTGTATATGCCAAATTTCAAATATTGTACATATTATTGCCCTACTTCGTATTTAAATAATACTTTAGTGTTAAAAAAGTATATTTGAATCCACTGGGTTATTAATGTTAATTAAATCTCATCTATTCATCCATTATCTTTAGTCATTTCGTAATTATTCTTTCTTTTCTAAAGAATTTCTTTTAATACATTTTTGAAAAGATAAAACTTACCATAACCCTTCTTTTAGATAAGTATGACAAATAATTATTGATGTTGCTTAGAATGACAGACAATGTGTCCGACTCATGAACACATTTCACCTCCAGCCTCTCCACTTTAGGACACTTGTCACTTTTATTCATTTCGGCAGAGGCAGTCAGAGCATCTGTTTGTGCTGCCGAGCTGTAAGAATRCGTGCACCATGTGTCTCGGCTGTGTCTCAGAACCAGTCACTGTTTTCTCTCTGAGACGACAGTAACAACCAACAGGAGAGAAAACGAGGGAAGCATCTCCCTCCACAGTTTCTCAGTCAGATAAAGAGCATTACAACACTGAACTGTTTTCCTCCGATCTGTAAACCAGAATTTATGAGTAGAATCGTGCTGCAGATTTTGTGCTAAAGCACAGGTGATGCTGAAAGGAATTTGTTTTAATGGCATCATGTTGGTTTGTTTTAAGTGTTTTTTCCCCCCAATTCCCAAACACACAAAACGCAAAAGTGATTGTGAAAATAAATTGCGTTCATTTATTTTCAAACGACATGCTCCTGTTTCTAATTTGCCATTATATTGAAGCACAAACACTGGTTGTTGTGCTGAAAACAGGTTTTTCTTTATAATTTAAGTTCTGAATGCACTCAGATTGCCACAGACATGATAACTAACATGCATTTAATATTTGAAGCTGCCTTTCTGCACGCACGTTCACACAGAGTACGGTACGAAGTCTACCTTGTAAAGGGAGATCTAGTCCTGCCTGCATCCTGTCCTGCAGAGAGCCTCCTGCCATGGCTTTGGCATTCTTTCGCTCTGTCATTATCTGAAGGAAAAAAAAACAGTATTTTTGAAACATGGCACGCACGCACACACACAGGGGGGAGAAGGAGAGCGAAGAGACAAACAGGAAAAATGTGTGGAGGTGCAGAAAGATGGGGGGAAATGAAAGGCTGATYAAAACAATTATAAAAGAGGCAAAGAGCAGCTACACTGTTGATTACATCATGCTGCTCACCCATTACACACACACACACAACTACAAACAATTAAACACATCGCACCATCCTTAAAAAAAACTTACAGACAAAAGCAAAAGTGACTGAAACAAATGTATCACACTTTTTTTCTCACATGCCTACAAACACCAAATTGTACGAGTTCTTAATSAGAATTTGTGATAATTAATCTACACCCAACAGTCTTCCACTTTTWCTTAGTTTGAAATTTCTTTTTAACAAGCGTGAAAAATGATGACTCAGRGTTAAAGCTCGGCTGCAAATGAAGGTAGACCTGTGGCAACTTCTCGACTCCACTTAGAACAAAGATCAGCGCGCAGTTACAAGACCTTATAAATGACTGAACTATTACAAATGTATTTTCAAAGTCTAAATCTAAGARTGAGTTTTATTGGAAGACAGGGAAAGAATTCAGAGTAGAAACAATAAAATCTCCATGSTCTGWATACTGGTTATGTGTCGATACGAGACTGAACATGAGGTGCAGAAAAAGCTCAATGTGTTTGGGGGAAATGACACTAAGGACTTCAGACACTTTGTACAAATATTAAAAAGGACTGTGGAATGGAAAAAAAAAATGAGGGAAAACACAAGAGAAGCTGCTCGTTTCAGAATGTTTCAGCATGTGAATATTTTATTTCTCAGGCGACACGACTTCAAGGCGTGACGTAAGACCATTAAAAGGTAAATATTTGTTTCTGTTTTTCTTGTTTAATTTTACAGCAGCTTTTCTCGACGCCAAGTTTCTTTAAAGGACGAMAAGACGAAAGTGAAACATTCACACAAACCGAGTTTTCACTGGGAGCGACACCAGATCTTGTGCGAGGAGAAGCYGCCCGCGATTTCTGCTTCAGTTCAAAGCGAGTGCATCATTGCAGCTGGAAGTCATTTAAATGTTTTTAAACGTATCTGAAACAGCACTGGTCTCAAACTACTCACCCGGGAGCAGATCTCATGCAGGCTCGTGGCGATGGCTTTGGCTGGTGTGTCACAGCGGAACACATGACATTTCAGGATTCTGGTGTTTTTATCTCGTGCCACATACGCAAAATCCCTGAAAACAAACACAAAATAGAGATTTGAACACTAATAATAGAAAGAAAAAAAGAGAGATGTTYAACTTGTTTAGCTAAAATGTGGGTGTTTGTATCTGTTAAATTTTAATGATGCTTTAAAAATAATAATAACCAAGTGACTAATGTACACACAAAACACAAACCCACACACACACAAAGCCAATGGACCCCAGAGATCAATACAGCAGTGTGACGCAAGAATAGAGTGACAGCATGTAAGGACTCTCTTCTGAGCCTACCGGAGCTGAAACTGAAAATGAACAAAGAAAAAATAAAGATGCAGAACGCTAAAGAGAAACTGCTGCACAAAATTAAACAGAAGCAGCACAGATAGTTACGATTTATAACGTTTAGAAACAAAAAACTTCCTTCAGGCGTCAATGTGCTGCTCTACAGAAACACACGTCTAAGGGGTCAAACGAGACCAAACACTCGACGGGACAATTTCCTGAACACATTCCAGCTCGTCTGTGCGGGAGTGCTGAAATGTGTGTGTCCCATTCATTTCCTACATTTCTGTACATGAGAGCGAAATCATCCAGAGCATTAAGAACAGCTCAGGGGATGATAAAAAAAAAAAAACAAGAGCAGAGGAAATGAAACAATAGGAAATGGCAGAGATGATAGAGAGATACTGCAGGAGGACAGCTGACGGGTTGAAGGAATGCGTTTACCTCTCTCTGTATCCAAGGAAGCATGGGAAGAAAGGGACGACAGTTAGTAGAGAGGAAAAAAAAAAGAAAAAAAATCCTGCTGCCCCCCTGCAGAGGGACGAGAGGCTCGAGCTGCAAGGACACCCACTCACACACATTTATAATTAAACCTTAGTGACACATTCACTTCTCATCTCTGCACCCTATATACCACTTCAGATTAAAATAAGTTACTGTAAAATAAAATAAGATAAAAATAAAAATAAAATAAGTTACTGTAGCAGTGTTACAAAGTAAATGTATGCATGGGTTGAAGTGGCTGTAGCTCAGATCTCAGCGGGTTTTTTTTTTAAAACACATAATTAACTTTGAGCTGAAACACAAAAAAATAAATAAATCAGTGAGTTCCAAAGATAAAGAGGAAAGAAGAGAGAGTTGAGCTCTGTTGGGTTTAATTAACTGCACGGGTTTCAGATACCCTGAAAGGCATAAGAGGAGGGTCTAATGGTACAAGGTGTCATGAAGATAGGGACAGACAAAAGGAATAAGAGAAGAACGGTGTGAAACTGYGAGTGATATCTTTATTTGTGCATAATGTTATCACGCCAACCTGCTGAAAATGTCACGGCTGCTGCGGGGACCTGTAATCTCAGGGCGATGATAAGTTTCACGGCTGCTTGTGCGCTGACAAGACGGCTACAGCCCCTTCACCGGGGTGTCGGTGTGCAACAGAGGGGAAAATCCCTGCACCACTCACTACCTTCACTTCAATCCATGGAAGGAGCGAGCTGCACATTTGCTACTACAAATATAAAATCGATCATTCGAGCGCAAAGAAAGACGAAAAATAAAGCTTCTCTTCTTTTATTTTGAAACACAAGACATTCAAATAACCACAACTTATTTATCCTAAAACAGCCTTTTAGTCAGCCAGGTAGCAACAAACAAACAAACATTTTTTTTTCACTTCACATGAATGATCTTTAAAATCACAACATGCACACATCAAATAACATTAAAACAGACAGAGAGAGAGAGAGAACACTGCTGCTGTTTAGAAATTCTCCCTGCTGGCAAGCCCCCTTTTTATCCAGAGGCACCTTTTTACTTTCTGATCAAACAAAAGAACAAAAAAAAAAGATTTCAAGTCTACTCACAGCGGTCCGCTCCTCTGTCTTCCTGATAATGGGAGTGTCTTTTAGATGCTCACTCCATCAGATCCCGGTGATACTGCACTCTCGCTCTCTTTAACCTGTCTGCTCCACACCCTTTCAGAACTAACCATGCCTCCCCCTCTGGCAGCTGCATCCCCGCACCTCTCTCTCCCTCTCTCATCCCCTCCTTCTTTTGCTGCAGCTAAGCTATTCCTCAGCTTCAACACTCCTACCTTGTGGACAAGTGAATAAAAAAAGGTGCATTTATTCCACCTGACAGGATGATCCTAGCTTTGTTTTTWTGCATTTAACACAGTGAACTTCTGGTCACGCGCAGGTACATGCGTGAGCTCAGATTGTGCAGCGATCGCMAGTCGTTTGGGTCCACATCGCCCCCGCTGTGCGTGATGACCCATATTGGAGATTTGTCTTGTCTGATCAGTGGTGTACAGCTCCTTCTAGTGGTCACCAAGCGGTAACACCACATCGATTATTCAAAGGTTTTAACCTTTCGGTGAAACCTGCTGCAGAGAGCTAAGCAGAGGTGAAAAGCAAGGAATAGACGGTGAGTTGGTGAATGAGAAACTCCAGTTTATTTTTCTCCCCCATAAACTCCCATGATTGTATCTTTTTCTCTTCTTCATCAGTCATCACTTCCTCCTGTCATGACACCATCTGTCTACAGGGCCACCTACTTGCTTTGCCAGTGTATGAAAGAAGCCAAACAACAATGGACTACGGACCTRGAAGCTAATGCTAACATCACTAAAATCCCTAAAAGATATAAATAAAGACGTTGAAGTCACCAGCACCACTAACCTGCCGTTGTCCCGGCCAACGCCCCACACTCGGATGCTTGCAATGGGTTGAGAATGAAGCACACTGCGGTCCATGGGGTCAACCAGGTTCAACATGTTATTCTCCAACACCAGGTACATGTCCTTCCCCTTGAGACAAGCACACACAAAGACACACATCCTTCAGACATTACAACAAAAAGTACATTCATTTTCATTTCTAACAGCTTTAGGTAAAATATAAAAAGAGCTCTTGGGTAAAATACTGCATCGTTTTCACATGTGGTTTGTGAAAYCGTATGATGCTCCTTGGCCTGGTAGGCTTCTAAATAAATAATCAAACCCTAAAACAGGTGGGAGGAAGAAAAGACAGGATTTTAATAGAGGGGTGAAGCTTTTTCCTTTCTGTGTCCTGTCAGTTCACATTAGGCAAACCCACAGCACAGAGAGGGAAAGACTTTATAATGATGCTCCACTTTCCTCTTTCCTCTCATCACACACGCTGCCGTCTTTTCTACATGGATACCTTCTCTCAAAAACCTTTTCTTTTGCTTCAAATATCTGTTTTTGTTTCAAGCTCATCGGGTACTGTAAACAAAAACAATTTTACAACATCTTCCTCACCTCGCCCCAGATGCCGACAGTGTCTCGGATGTCGTTTTTGCAGTAGGAGAGTTGTCGGATGCAATTATTGACAGCGACGCTGCTCTTTCCGGGAGCCAGGTCCTCCTCGGCCATCTCTACCCAACCCAAAGAGCGCACTGCAAAACACTGAGAGGAAAAACCCTTCAGTTTTTAGAAACGTTCGACGTTCTGGAAACCAAGTGTAAGAAAGGGTTCAAAAAATTGACAGCCCGAATAATGTGCAGAAAACCCAATCCYCTTCTCAGATTTAAAAACTCCCTCAGAGCATGGGRCTGTCACTCTTTAAAGTAAATAAATAAAACTGATAAAGTATAAGATATAAGGCTGGATCTAAAATTTAATTTAATCAACCACATGGTTTTTATTTTATTATAAAACTCTGATAGATATGAGGCTTTTTTTTTACTGCCAAACATCTGAATAGCAAGACGGTTTTGTTTTGGTTTATTAAAAAAAACCTTCTGAACAAATTCACAAGAAGTGATATTCATAATATTTACTTTATAAATAAGAACAGATAAAACTTGTCATCTTGACAMGATTTATTTAATCTGTTGAGCACAAAATATAGGTCTCAGATGTGGAGGGACAYGTAACAAGTAAGTAAATCACACAAGCAGTGACAGGACAGTTTGATGTCGCCGTATTTATGCAGTAAATGTGAATTCAGTAGCAAATGCCCRCAGAAACATGAAAAACAATCTTCCATCTCAAAACTACCAGGAGTTATTTCCTATTATTAATATTTTAGAGTGCTACCAGTCCAAAAGGCCCGACTGGAGGGTTGTGTGGGTCTGCTTTTAGGCACAATGTCATAGTTGTTGAGATTTGTGACTTTCAACCTGCTGAGTCAGCATCACATGATCAAGTTGAGCTGCAATCAACCTGTCACACCGTCCAGTGATCCAGCCGAACTGAGRGTGTTTTAGTGTTGCTGAAATCTCCAGTGGGTCGAAGCAGAGCGCAGTGAAACTGGATCGTGCAGGAAAATGTAAAATGTATATTTTACACTTGATCGTTCGCAGGCAGATGGCTTTAACGGGTACAAGTTTTACTACGTGACCAGTTAAAAACTTTATATGTCTCATTTGTTTCTTGGCTTTGAAGGCTTTTAAAGTCTCATTAATAAATGAATAATTGGCCGCGAGAGTCACTGGGTTCCCACTCCCCTTATTGGGTACAGTTTAAATTAAAAAAAGATGCTTATAGGGCCTCGGTAATGTGAGAGATCCCCCTCGTCCTGCCAAGAAGCTGTTCAGACTTTTGCCAAGTGGCTACAGCTCTTGCACCATTAAATCAAACCCTAAAAGAATACGCAACCGTTTAACTTCACTGGTAAGGCTACTTAATACTAAGCAACACTCACCTAGACAATYCCTATTTTACCATTTCTCATCTTTTAACAGATTAAACATTTTAACAGATTATTTAAAGGTCATTATATGTTTGTTTTAAATTAAAARTAATGTTTTTAGCGCGTTTTAATTTTATGCTGTGCATCTATACTGGACAGGATGGATGCACAATTTTAATTCAGCTGTTTGTTGTATGTATGTACTTGACTTGYTCAAATACAACAACAATCTGTACTCCTTCAGTTCATCACTGGGTGGCATCATTTAGCTAAAAGACCTGAGATGWTCAACATAAAATACTGCCTTCATCCAAACGGAGCACATCAATTCATTACTGCAAGGCAAGATGTCAGGATTTGGCAAGAACGTTGGGCCTCATGCAAGAATATTCTAATCCTAAATTTTTATTTCTTTTTTTTTTGTATGAAGGGTTCGTACGAACATGCCTCYTCAGATTCAGCAAATACTTTTATCTTCAGGAAAAGTGTGTAAATGAGCAGCGTAAACATGATAAATGCCTCCTGTATGTATTCAGGTGCTCGTGCACGCGAGAGGAAATTAGCATTTTTACCACCCTGATAATACCATATAAGGCTACTCATCCTGCCCCACATACCAGGTAGAGTTCATTCATGAAAATGACAAAAAAATAATAATAAAAATCTGCATAAAGGACTTCACAAGTTCAGAGATCGAAGTCCTGCTCTCAGAGATCCAGAAAAGAAAATCTGTCATTTTTAGCAGCGTCAGCTGTGGAATTAAAGGACCTGCTAAAGCCAAGGAATGAGAAGAAATAATGGCTGCAGTAAATGTACGACCCACGGGTGACATAAATATCAAATAAAATAACCATCTTCCAAACAGTACTCAAATGGTTCTGCCGCTAGAAACAAGTTATCCACATTCCCTGTCTTGCTTTGCACTGTTATCTCTGCTGCTGACAMTCTGCCAGCAACCCCCACCCRCTGTGAGCAATAAGGATGTTTTGCAAAAATGACACCCGATTTTTGAGGGTCACAGGTAAACATCTAGAGGGYTRGACATGATTCACTTAAATAAAGAAGAAAAGTTTGATATGAAAATGGCTTTTAAAAAGTCTTGCCATTTCAATTAATGCATAATTTAAGTTGATTTGTAGTTTGAGATCTTGAAGTTTTTATTCTAGTGTTATACAATAGCATTAATAGCCAAATTAAATTATATAATTAGGCTACATTAATATCCTAACTATATAATTTAATAATTTACATTTAAAATTATAATTCCAATTCAAACACAATAGCCTATTGTCAACATATTTATAAAGTGTGATTTATTTTCAACTCAAAATATCTTCAAACTAATGAAATCAAAAGTTATTAGTGAAGAAAATCAGTCTGGATAACAGCAGACTGAGTGCACGTAAAATACACAACAGGTCTGCACCACTTGTAAATTTTGTTCATATCGATAAGTTCTCCTAAAATCAGTCGTACGCACAACTTAAGGACAAATCTGTTTGTATGAACGGTTCTTGCATGAGACCCAATGATTATTGTTGTCGGCACTGTTTCTGGAAAATATTGGACAAGATATGTAAAAAAGATATTATTTCACAAACAAAAAGGTCCGTCAGCCTCAACACAGTGATCAGAGTGACGTGAAGAAACACAAGACGACTTTTTTTAAAGCAACTCTAAAGTTTGAAACCATACAGCAACAAAACTTGTTAACACACAACAAAGCAGTGTTCATTTTGATTGTGTGATAAAAAAACCAAACCAAAACAAAAACATTTAGAACATTCATTATTAAATGAAGCTGTGATGAAAATAAAGAGATCTTACTTTGGACTCAGAGTCACAGTTGACGCTGCTGGACTCGTTTTCCTCCACAGCTGGACGGTTCCTGGAAAATGTTCATTTTTAAATAAATTAAAATATTCATACAGCAGTATGAGAATATCCCYTTATTAATGATGAAAATAGCTGCTTTGTGAAAAATACTCATCTTCTCTGTAAGTTTATCTATATTAAAATCAGCCACATTTCCATATAGCATAAAAACTTAAAAAACTAACAAGATAAATATTTGTGTAAATTCTTYGTCACCTAGAAAAGTACACATGATGGAAGGAAACACAGCTGAAATATCAAATATACAGTAAGTGTTTAATGACTGAATTACTTTACTGAAATCACAAATGTTTCACCTTAATTTGAGAGATGCATATCGAAGTGTGGCGCCCTCAAACTCCTTCAGACTGGGGTCAGGGTTCACCGTGGCTGCCTGCAGGTCCTAAACACACAGGTGACACAGTCAGGGTGCATCAGAATAAACCTGTCAAACTTAGCGTTCCACCTTTAAGATGCTCCTGTAATAGATCTGTGATATATTGTGTGGTAACTTATTGGTTTTTAATTATTTCCAGATTTCCATTTCCAAATACAGGAGAGCTTCACTGGATTACTTCCACAGTGTAGGAAACACAACACCTCAAACATAAACAAAAAAACATGCTTTCATAATAATGTTAATGATTTTATATTTGAGTTCCAGCTTAGATTGTGGCTAAAAACACCATGTGTGACCATCTAAAATTCATGGGTTACAATGCAAGAGGCAAAGCTAAAAGATACCAGCTTCGCAAAAACCCAAAAGTAAATAATTAGATGCTACACGGTGTGTATTAGCATGCATCCAAGCGTGGGCGGAATGTCCTTGCTGGATGGAGAAATGGCTGTGGTGGTATATTATGAACCGTATAGCAGGACATGCTACATAAAGAAAAAGAATGTTAACACATATTAGTTACACACGCACATTTTTTTGTGTGCAAACACATTCATATCTGTGCAATTAGAGTGAGAAAAAAAGAAAAATATTTTCCATACAAATTTTAAAAAAATGCTAAAAATGTTGCCGCAGCCACAGAACAAACACTCTTGCATATTAGGCATCGTAAAATGCTGAAGGAAATGCAGTAACATTAATGATGGAGCATCAGCCACACATGCTTTCTCCCGAGCAGTGATTTAAAGGCAAGTTACGCATAAACAAGAGTGGGTGAGGTTAGACGGAGACTCGTTGCCACTGAGAGAATAATACTTGCCTTCCACACTTCACTATCAATTTTTCCGCCATATTCACTCCACACCTGTTTCTACATACGGCGTTAAAACACACAACACAGATAATGTTGGGTCGAAAGGGGAAGAAGGACAAAACAAGGTCGTTAACCAACCAGCTTTCTCCACACTCAAACAAATGTGGTAATAAGGTGCAAACTAGCCAAATATATTGGTTATAAAGTGAAAGCGTGGAGAAAAAAAATAACAATTTAAAAAAGGACTCTTTGGCTATTTGCTCTACAAACATATCCTAAATAAAAAAAAGGAGTAATGATTGAGTATCCCACCTTGTCTTCATCGTCCTGCTGCTTAGAGCAACTTTCCGGATCAGGAATCCCCTGCAAAGACGTGGAACGAGGCTGGACAGAGAAACGGGGAGATAAAAGACATTAGAGGAATTAGATCTATTGCATTCCCTATCTCTGTATTGAGATTTGGAAATCAAATGAAAGAATTAAGTGTTAATCTCCCTGTCAATTTGCTGATACTCAGCGTGGAGGTCGGTCACCAGAAACAGATATGCCAGAGTCTTATTCCAGCAAATCCGTCCATCCATCAACATCGGTCTATTTTCACTGAATCAATGTTTTATCTGCACACTGCTGCTCTCTATCTTCCACTCTTCACTTTAATCCTTCATTCCCTGTGATTGACTGACTGATGGTTCTTGCATCGTCTTATTCTGTACAAACTTCAGTACTGATGGTTCTCTCGTCTTTGCACTTGTTCTTTAATGCTTTGTTTTACTGATATGCCAGCCTCAATCAGGAATACAGAAGAATGCAAAAACTAAATATTTTGATATACTCAAAATATATTCTTTAAAGCAGGGGTATTGTGTATTTTCCAGGCACATAGTTCAATTCTATACTACAATCAAAAAACTATGTTACCTTCAGTTGATATGAAAAAGCTGCTTATATCAAAAATCAATTTGACTTAGCATCATAGCTAATTGGCTTGAAATTGGCCTCTGTCTCTTTAAGAACTTCCTACCGTATCCAACACTCCCACTTCAGCATGTCTTCACAAAAACGCTTCTGGGGAGGGCTGTGGTTTACACCAACAAGCATTTAGGCATGATTGATTTTTTTAATGAGGGAATGACATAAGTTAAAGCTAAATAAAGTTTTTTTTCATAATACCTCCCCTTTAAAATGTGCTCAAATAAAAAAATAAATAAATAACAAAAAAAGCTCCTTTGTTCCAGCTTACAAAGTAGCAGCTGTTGACAAATCCACACGTGGAGAAGGTGGGCTCCTGGGAGGAGAGAGGCTCCACTGAGCTGTCAGAGGTGGTGCTTCCTGAGCGAGTTGAAGCCCTGAAGAAGATCTCCGCTTGGCACGACTATTTGCARATAAGCACACAGACATGAAAGTTATTTTCATAAATTGTTGTAGAATAATACATACTGTATTTCTAGCTAGGTATGCAACTTACTCTATTTCTTCATTTTTTAAAGAAAACACACGCTTCTGTGTTCTAAGGTGTTTTAATGAGCAGAACATTTTGATCCAGCAATCACAAAAACATTTTCATAACATTCAACATATGGGCTCTTAACAGATTACAGAAATGCCCCATTGTATAATTAAATGTTCTGCAAACGCTAATCTGACCTAAAAGTGCTAATCAGTATGCAAATCTATTTTTGCACAAAAACTGCTGRTGCAAACAGAAGAATRAGAATCYAAGGCCAGCAAAAGTTCACCAAACAAGAGCAGGAGTTTGATTCTGTGTCRCTRACCTCGTGGTCAGGAGTGGGTGAGGGGCTGAGGAAGCCCAGCGAGCGTTTAGGTGGAGTTGAGGCCGTGTGATCGCCCGGGGGCGGGGTCTCGGTCTGACCAGGTGGACGGCTGGAAGGCCGCTCCCACTGGGTGGTGCCTGTAGGAATGTGCCAGTAGTAGATTCCAGCCATGTCTGTGATCTTCTTCCATCCTGGAGGCAGGTCAGGATCAGTCTGGAAGGTCTGCTCACTCCAGACATCTAGGAGGCGATAACACATGAAAAGAATTAACGTTACAGTGCAAAACAAAGCTGATTAAATAAAACTCGTAAACAACCCCTTTAACGAGGCGAGGCACAAAGTTAAAGAAGCAGTTAGACTTTTCCTTAGCCCTTTATAACTACAGCTTATTCATTTCTACTTAATCATTAATAAGTGGTTAGTTAACCTTGAAAATATACTCAGTTAAGGATGATTAATATGTAATAAGCTATAAATTAACACATTTATTAATGCATAAAAGCTAATTTCTTTCAAAACAACATACTTAATATTTCATTTATAAGAGTAAAGCATTAATGAATGTGTTAATTTATGGCTTATTAAGTATTAATCATCTTTAATTAACAATGGTTTCAAGGTTAACTAACCATTTATTAATGATTAYGATAAAAAAGTGTAGTTATTACAAAGTGGTACCGACTTTTCTATCACTACTGTACATAATCAATAAATAKAAACTTTGTTAAAACAAATCTTAAATAAAAGAGCAACAATGACCACAATTATGTGACTACACAAAATGTCATTSTTCTGTATGATCGAATAGGTCTCGGAGCAAAACCATGCAGCTGTCCTGAACTGGGAGCATCTGCTGCAGCTGTTCCTTTAACAAGCCATGACTCCATGATCTCAGACAACTGAGGTCACACATGCACAGTGACAACTTCAACATTTTTTTTAAAAGAAAGGTTAAATAACAGGTAACAACTCTTTACAGAAAACAACTTCTCACTTAAACGGAATCACTTATTCACAACACGTCAGACACATTTAATGAGAGAGCCCTCTCTGAGCACAGATGCAATTTCATTTCCTTTATGAGGTTCCTGCTAATGCTAAAGACAAATAAACAGACACACAAACTTTATTACCCTTCTACCTTTGATGCCAGGTGATAACCATTCAAGCAGGT